TTAACCTTCATTACATTCACACTCTGGTGACAAATGAGGCAAAGTGGGTTACCTTTCTCTTCTATGAAGAAATAGTTCAGAGATCAATCTGATTTAAAGTTTCTGCCTTCATCAGAAACCTTCCTTTTCTTCGCAGGTCTCAAAGTCGATGCCATATGTTGGTTGTTATTTTAAACAAAATCAAGGACACAGCAGAAAAAATATCCTAACCTTTATTAGTTGTACAATATCCTAACCTTTATTAGTTGTACAATGTACATCTCATTGAACGCGGTTTAAAGGGAAGGGGACTATCAAGTTTACGATTAAGATTCATGAGAAAATTCAACGGTGGGAGAAAAGGGTTGTAAGTTTCAAGACAAGTATGGCATTTCAAACATGGCATTTCGATTCACAACATTTGTATATTTACAAACGTTACTGCGTGCGGAAATTACAAACTTAAATCAACACGGCGAGTGATGTTAAAGGGATCGTTTAACAATGTTAAATCTGAGATAAACGGTCCTACATGTTACCAGTGTCTGTGATATGGTGTAATATTGAAGCCCTAAAAAAAAAATCGCGCTTCAAAATGATCAAGAAGTGCCTCAAAAAAGTAAACATCTTTGAGTGACCGGTTTTACCATACTCGTTTTCCCCAATAGACTGTAGTGTTGTGAAAACCGTTTGGCGAACGGTTTTCAAAATTTGTAATTTCAATCATTAATATCTTGATAATCAGACAGGCGATCGGCTTGTAAAAGTCATGGAGTTCCTAGCTGACCTAAAGGTTTATAATTATCATTGCAGCATGAGCTAAATCAAGGATTATTTCTAAAGGATCTAAGACAAAGTTACTGGATCTCTTTAATCTCGTTAATGTTATGGAATGAGAGGAAATTTGAGGAGTTTTGTATCAACCAAGTAGTCGATCAATAGGCGGTGTCACAGGAAAAATCCCAACCAATCTTGAATAAACCAGATTTTAGAAATCTATTTTTTGCATTTACATCGGTGACAGACTGGTGACAGACAGGCTACGAATAATCCGGATAACTAAAATCTGGATTTTTAATGGGCCATTGCGCACGCGCCGTTTAGGTACATAAGCATTGTGACATCACATGTTCAATCAAAAGTAATGCGCAATTAATGCGTCTCATTAAATCCGCCCTAATTTAATTGTGCGCAGGTTATGATAGCACGTATGCCAGCCAATCATTAAGTCAGACCTTACACTCACCTTAAAGGAGATTATTCCAACATTGGTGTCAGACAGAAAAAAAACTTAAAAATCCCTTGAAAAATCCTTTCAAGGGAGAATTACCTTGCTTCATTAGAGTATTTTTCAAGGGACTTTTTAAGGGATTTTTTAAGGGTTAATTGATGACAGACGGCCAGTTAAGAGGGTAACTGAAATCCGGATTTTTGGCCTCTGTGTGACACCGCCTAATAAGTTGTGAATGATGAAAACAAATTATGGAAATAGAGATAGCTGTGTGTAAATGTTTTACCCTATTTTCAAAGCTCCGCGGGCCGCACAGAAAGAGCTCAATGTACATGGTACCCACAGGCAAGCGAGAGCGAGAACACGTACATTGTACGTGGTCTGCAGTCAAGTGGTTAAAGGGACTTGGTAACAATGTGCAGATGAGATAAAATGGTGCTAACGTAGTGATTCCACTGCTAGATGTACAATTAAAGATAAACTGATCTGATCAATTCCTGAATTCTCCCAACTATATTATTATAATTTAATTAAATTTAGGTCAATATAAATCGTCACAAAGCAATGAATTGGCTCTCCAAATATACCATTCCAAACATTAATATGTGGAACGATTGTTTAAAGCCTGTTTGGTGTCTTATTTTCATGGAAAATTGGGTGGGAAAATTCAAAATTTGGTTGGGAAAATTTACTGTTAGAGGGTGTTGCACAGTGACGACTTCAGAGAAAACCATAAATACTTAGTTGAGAGTTTTTTTCAGGATTTTTGGCATGTCAGGGGGTTAGTACGGTAGAAGGAATATAATAACTAACATTTGCTTTAAAAAATACGCTATTTTTCCATCAATCTTCAACAATGTAATACAGAGTCACTTTAATGAGATATAGGAAGGAAAAGGAGAGAGAGGGCGTGCAGGAATACATGTACATTCTACTTAAAACAAAAATCAAGGCAAGACCAATAAAGAGTGAATTCATGGTCTCATCAAATAATCCAGTATTGAAACATCATTATGATGAGAGAAGATGGGGAGAAGAGGTAGAGAAAAAAAGACATAGAGAGGGAGTGACAGATAGAGAGGGAGAGACAGAGATACAGAGAGACAGAGAGAGAAAGGACGAAGGTATAGAAGAAAATTGTTTAAAAGTTTTAACAGGAATACTTGACAATTCATTACATAGTGCAGGCAAGAGAAGTAACAATAAAACCGATGGTTATCACAACAAAATCGAACTAGAGTATTTCTACCTTCATGAGGAATTCAATAAGTTATTATTCATGGAGGATGGATTAGTTTTTAATATTCTATACTTTTAAGTTAATGTTAAATCAATGAAACCAATTAAGTGGCATCAACAAATCTTCTACCTTTCTTCTAGATTAATTCAAGCATTTCAAATATATGTCTAACTGATCATAAACATATCCTTAATCTGGGAGTGCCATGTTTAATTTGGATTAAAGAATTCAAACAAAAAAAATCAGTTCATGGTTTGACAAAATCAATGTCAGTAGTGATCCCGTGGACAAAATCAATTATTTGGAGTGTACATGGCGCCCCACAGCACATAGTTAGAAGTAGAAAGGGACATGGAAATGTTGACATCTAGTGTGGTGATCTTTGTTGAGCTAGTATGCTTAATTATTTCTTTTATAATTGACCTAGGAAAAGGATTGGTGAAATCAAAATTGATTGATGTGTAAAATTGTCACTTATGGCATTTTTTCCTAACCCCGGCATTTTAACTCTAATATCTTAACCTCTCACACTTTTACACCAAATAAATTGTCCTTGGTAGTTGCCAGGGAGGGGGGTAAATTGTCCAAGGGGTACAATGTAGCTGTCCAGATACAGTCTATGGAAAAGATTTAAATTGTGCAAACCCTGCTACCCAGGGATACTAGTAATATACTGCTCTGTAGTTATCTCATTACTGTTTATCTTTAAATTGCATTTTGTGTTAAGTGATGTAAAATTTAACATCTTCCATTTTGTAAATTCCATAGAGGGGCAGAAATCGACTAACAAATACATGTGCTTTTTTCTGGAAGTTCATAAGTTGACCTTTGTTACCTTGACCTTTGACCTATTTACTCCAAAATCTGATGAGATTCTCTTCCTATAGTGATACATACTATCATTAAGTTTAAAGGTCATATCTCAAGGGCCGTGTTCTAGAGATATCCCTTTAATGAGAAAGTGGGTCGGACGCACAGACAGCATGCACCAGAGTGAGAGCACCTTGCTTCGAGAGGAAACATCTGATTTAACTCATGCACCTGATTCCTGCCATTGCTGATTTGTGATGTGCTGGTCAAACATAACCCCTAAATTTCTGGCTCAAGGCACAGGATTAATGTGGCATTCACCGACATATACACTAGATAGGGAGGGATCTTGACGAAACTTAGATGTGAAATGGATAACTTCAGTTTTTGAATCATTCAAAGACAATTTGTTTTTCATTGCCCAAATCTTCATTTTAGTTATGCAGGCTTTTAACCTCTCTAATGATTCTTCACATTCACTATGCTTGAACACGATATACAATTTGCGTGTAATCTGCATAAAGCATTACATTTACACCATGAGATGTTACGATATCTTCCATTGGCTCTGTGTACATTGTTGAAGGCAAGGGGCCCGATGACGGATCCTTGTGGAACCCCATGTTTATCATGGTAGGATTGCGAAGAGGCATTTTTTATCATAACATGCTTTCTGTTTTCAAGGTATGAGGAAAACCATCGAAGTGCCCTTCCCCTGATTTAAATGTAGGATTCCATTTTTTCAAGCAGCAGATCATGGTCAATCGTATCAAATGCTGCGCTAAAATCTAGCAGCACCAGTTCCGCTTCCTACTAACTGATGATGTGCACCTAGCAGGCAGCCCTTTAGTATTTCTCAGAGTTTTGTTATATTTTTTGGTTCATGATCACGTCCAATAGTTTGTGTAGTAATCAGTGTCATCAATGCATAGTGTAGACCTTGCAGGACTGACTTTTAAGGATTTAGTGAAGTAATATCCCTGCATTTAAAAGTGTAAGTTTTTCACCTTGTTTGGACTGGATCTATGTATATGCTATAATCTTTGAGAAGATATATTCTTCTGTCAAAAGAACCAGCATTATTCAAGAAACAGGTTAGTTTGAAATCGTCTGACCAGTACGTTGCAGACCACCTTATGTGTGTCTGCATCAGAAACAGATTTAGTTTTTAAACATCTGTCACATCTGGCCACTGAAGAAGAGTGTGACACTAACCTGTTTCTTTTCTTCTCTTCATTTTGTTTTTTGTTTTTTTGTGGACAAGTCATTGCGCTCCGCCTGCCGGATGGAGTGTTTTTTAGGCCATTTTTGGGGTTGTTCACATTGTGTCAAAAGAACCACCATATATGAGATATTGAAAGGAATTACAGAAAAGTAAAATGTACATTAGAAAAAGGAAGAGATGGTAATGGAATTAACTTAACTTAAAACTCAAACATATATCACAATTGTGGATGAACTGCTCACCTTTGATTCTTTTCCTTTCCTTGCAAGTGTTTCAAAAAAACAATGATGGAATGCGGCATCATAAAGAAAAACTTCCTTCAAGGATGGCACGGAGCATATCATCTCTGCCACATCAAGTGACATAGTACGTCCACAATTTCTCAAAATATTGAGCTTAACCTGGATAAAATGACAAAGTGATTACTGATGAGATTGAGATGCAGAATACAGATGTTCACTTGGATGTAAGCCATACATGAGTAACCTACATGAGCGGTTGCCCTAAATTTGCTGCTAGAACTACAGAGAGTAAGAGGGAAAAGGAAATAACCAAAGGTACAGGCTGAAGAGCTATTGCCATGACATTTCATATCAAATTCCTATTTTTGCAAAAGTAGGAATATCTTATCTTAGTTTACCATGTAAAGTCTAAGAACAGGTTTCAAAGGAGATTAATTAATTCCACACCATCTGGTGCCTCGATCATATCTTAATCATTTATAAATTTTAATAGGAATACCATCACTAAATTAAAAGGGGGGATACAGAGAAAAAATTTAGGCTGGCAAAGGAGAAAAGAAGAAAAAATGTTGATACCCCGGCATGAGCACAGTTGTATGTATTCAATCTTACCAAGGGAGAGTGAAGCAGAGGATGAATTAAAATCAAAATTAATAATGTACATTTATGTTAAGAGTTGCAATTTCAATAACACCAATTTTACATTGGGCCAAGAATATCAAACAGATTCCTTTGTTGACCTCTGTTTACCATGTTTGCTCCTGTTAAACATTCATAAACCAACAATTGCGATTTCAATTAGGCAAGAGATATTTTTTTTTGAAGGGATGAAAATGGGCAAACTATTGATGAAGTTTCCTGTCCCCAAATTTTATCTCATCTAAAAGGTATAGATGCAATGTGTATGCATGTGCCAGTACATACTACATAATAACGTAATTTAATTGAGTCAATGCCTAATATATCAATTTGCACGTTCTGAATTTTTTCTTATTCCTCTTCCACCCAAATCACATTTGTTTTGCATGCAGCTAGTGCTTGTTATTCCTAATTAGGTCCTTTCTCTATCCCAATTCCTTTCAGATTTTGTATGCATATGCTTTACCATCTCACCGTCTGCACTAGCTGCTGAACTTCGTCCAGGCGCCATTTTGACTGTTTCGGGACCGTTTACATGCCTTTCTTTCAGCCTACCTATCTCCCCTATTCTAGATGCTACAGACTTCTAAAAACATACTCTAAATAGTGCAAGAGTTGCTCTTAATCTTAAATATACAATTGGTCCTTCAAAATGCAATCTTCATACTCTAAATATAAGGCCGAAATTCAACAATCGCTTAAGTTCTTTAAATATTGACCATTGAAAAAGAAAAATTACCTTAACTTTGTCATATCAATCTCTTTCTGTCTGAAATATGTACAGCATCTTTATCTTTGCATTGCACATACCGGTATACATCTATTTCTCCTGAATTTTACACATCAATAGTCATGCATGATATGAATTACATCTGACAATGGATGTTTATGGGGCCATAGCTCCATCATGCCTAAATTTATCAGTACCCTTTTTTGGATCTAGATACTTAAAGATATACACTTTTCAGCAACAACAACAAATAAATTCATCCTACCACTGACCAACTTTGCGAAAAATTGCTCTCGAAAACCATACTTTTCAGGATAATTCCATAAAAACTTCAACATACACTGTACATCTATTTGCAAACTTTATACCTAGGTCTATGAAACTTAACAGACATGTGTAATCGTGTATCAAACTACTTGACAACCGAATGCCAACTTTGGTAAAATTTCATGACGTCGATCATCACTAGGTTAATTTTTAAAATGTTGAATTTGCTATGCATCACATACATGTACAATGCGTGACATGCTTGTAGTACCTTAGTGTGCATGACAATGGGTTAAAATGACCACAATGGAATAGCTTTTCAAATGGTTCCATACACAGTATATGTTCACTCAGTAAATTTTGAGTAGATCGATATTGGAAGCAGGTCACAATTCGGATTACGCAGGTTTTCTGCCCAACTGTAACACGTATCGGCTATGACGTCAATTTTATTCTGGATGGCCAAACTCAGGGCATGTCTCATAGCCCAATTTTGAAAACCTGTCATCCGGACGTTTTAGATGCCTTTTTATATCCTGCATTACGATGTATCGCTCTATATGCGTCATGTATTGGTACGTTAGGATGCAAGGCCATATACATGTAGGCTAAAGCATATGGAAAACCATAGGTGCGTAATGACATGTGCCTTAAGTGTACATTGTACAAAGGATCATCTAATTGCTTTATTTATCTCCTCAAAGAAATAGAAATACGGGCATGAATGCATGCATGCATATCATCACCAATTGCAGTTCTAGTTTAACAATATTACCGTTTAAACCTCTTTGATGCACCCTTCCATAATTATATTCTTTTATGGTAAGAAAATTGCAAAAAGACGTAATGTAAGAAAATGGATGAACTAATTTTGTTTATCAAACTATGATCAAACTTACCACATGTGGTCCAATGAATGCATAACCAGCTACAGCGTGTGCTGTCATGTCCCTGGATATGACCAGCTTAATCTCCTCTGATGAAACACTGTCCCTCACCAAGGCTGCTACATCTGGGTCCTGACTCTCAAAGGCTACATCAACAATGAAAGGTAACTCTTTACCAAATGAATCCCTGTTTAATCCCTGAAGCATAGACTTCATTACATGGGTTGCAATACTTTTGTTCTGTGACACAGTGAAGTACAAGAGATACCTAAACTCCCCCTTCCTTGGAAGCACTACTTGCTCAATCAGCCTGTTGAATTCATTACGATCTGATTCATACAGGGAAGCAAGATGGACTCCAGCCATGTACTCCTGAAACAGTTTGTGAGGGAAGAAGACTGGCAATTGCACATAAGAATTCCCCTTATGTATGTCCGTGCTAGTGGTAATTCTGTCCTCCTGAGACAAAATCCCAACCCTACAGGCAGTGTCCTTGGATTCTGGGCATATTTCGAAATCATCTTCACCAAAAACCAAGGTATTTTCTAGCAAACCGTTGAGGGCCTGTTTGGCAATTGGTCCAAGGAGCTCATCAATTTGTTTCAAAGAGGCAAGAAGTGAGGGGCTGCCTACTTTCTTCACCTCTTTCTGAGCATAATGTTCTTTTAGAAAGGCAATCATTGTTTTGAATATTTGAGAAAAAGTTTTCAGTGATTTCATTTCCTTTAGTTTTTGCTCACCAAGTTCTTTCCACATAAGACACAACATGGCTACATATATAGGATAGTGGGCCATGTTTTCAGATATGACATCATTCTCATGGGTGAACTGGATTAGCTGATTTGCTTTATCCTCATTCTTTGGAAAGTATTTGTGAATGTAAACTGACAAATTCTCTCTGTTGAAACCCTGAACACGAATGAATGTGTAGAGCTTCATTAGATCACCATCTGATCTAATCTCTACTGCTCTCCATGGGCGAGTGGTAACCAAGACAGGGCAAGAGGCAAGTTGATCGGAACAAAGAATATCTACAAGTCCAATATCACCAGTCTCAGATGAGCTTCCACATGCCTCTGAAGAGTTGACACTTGGCTGTGATGGCTGAAGTTGCATTTGATCAGTAGACCGTGACCGTGATTTTGACTTCATGATTTTGCCACTGACTTCGTCTAGCCCATCGAGTGCGATGAATACCTTGTCAGGATTTGACTGGATATACTCAGTAATCTGGGAAGCCGTTGTTGGATTGTTCTTGGCCAGATAAGACTTTGCAATTTTGCCAATATTGTGTTGCTTAAACTCACGTAGTGGAACAATCAAGACCCACACAAAGTGACTGAAATACATCCCTTCAATCCAGTCCCAGGCAATCTTTGCACAAAATGTACTTTTTCCAGCCCCTGCCTCTCCCTGAACCATGATCCGTTTGGGGAACTCTCCATTGACTTTGAGATCAAGGATATCATTGTAATCTAGCATTTGTTTCTCTGTCCCATGTTCTTCTAGTAAGACGAGATTAGTATACATGTCTTGAAACTGCACAGTGGAAGCAGGATTGAGAGGATCAGCTCTGATCTTACAGACAGTTGACCTGTACTTGAACTTGAAATCATTTGCACACCGCTCAACCAGTTCAGGAGAAAGTGGTTTGGTCTGAAATCCAGCAGAAGGATGGTTGGTATGTGATTCGAGCAGTCTTGATGGCCCTCCTAAAAATAAACAGATAATGCATATTGACATGACTACACATATATATATATATTTTGATACATCTGAAAGGATTTTAAAGGCATAAGGCTAAAAGTGTGACCTACAACTAGGTGCATACACTCATGCAAAGACACAAAGTCCTACATGTTCGTCTGAATTTGTATGAAGTCAATTATTCATCCGTGGGCAGATGCATTATTATCATAATGAAATGACGCAAAAGAATATAATTTGTTTGTAGAACATGTACACATAAAGAAAGCTGACAAACGTTGAATTCTGCTGTCTCTCAAAGTGCTTGTAGAGAAAATATATAGGATTAACAAATTTAAATTAGTAAATTATGTTAAAAAATACACGGGGCCTGATAAAATTTGACACTTGAGTAAATTGTGGCAAATGTATAGAACACAGAGCATCACTCACTTTCTCTATGTTAAAAACTGACTTCACTTTTATGCATGGTTTTCTTTTGTTGTAGCAAGAATAGGGCTGGGAATTTCAGGTATAGTTTTAATTCGGGTACCCGCTTAAACTTCGGGCTTTAGAATAAGAGAAAAATATTTATTTTGTCATTAGTAAATTATTGGATTTTTTTTTTTTTTAAGAAGATTTTTCTAGAAAGCCGTTTTATTATTCCAACATTGTTTTTTAGTCTTTTTTTAATCCTGTGTGAATCTAAATGGCGGCTTGAATGTTCTCTTTCTACTTTTACCCCAGATTTTGACATTAAGAGGCATGATATCAGCACTAATAAAAGCAAACATGGATGAAAATAATGTCAATTGTTAGAATGTACCGATCTGAGCCGAGGTACGCATGTGTTTATTGTTTTTGTTGATAAATGAAGTCACTTCAATTTTAAGGGGCATCTTTTTCATTGCCATCCATTTTTGGGAAATGGGTATCTCATTTTTTGACCCGGGACCCAAGGCTCTTGGGCGGGACCCTGGTACCCGGTTTTTAGTCCCAGCAATAAGCAAGAATTAGTGTCTGTTTACCTGTGCTGTTTGGAATAAGAGGCTCGTTGAGTAATCCGTCTGATAGGCCACCCAAGTCAACCTCTCGTAGTTTGTCTGCCAAGAGCTGCCGCTTGTTTGAGTGTGGAGGTTGCTGCTTGACATTCCAGTTCATAAAGACATCCATCAAGGCATCTTTGAAGTTCTTCAAATTCTCAATCAGGATTACCTTTAGCTGAGCATGGGAGAACCCTAGGGATATCCCTACATTGTAGTAGTAAGAAGGATCAATATCCTGGGCCAGCTTCAGGAACTCCATTTCACTGACAGTACTGTAAAATGAATAATAAATCAATTGGGTATGATATAGAGAGCATTCTACTGGCTGAGAAGCTATCATGTGACACTCAAAAAAATTGTATTACGTGCTTGAGCGTGCAATAAAACAACATGGGGGACTGCAGAATATATTGCCTGTGAGATCAACATTTGAAACATATTGCCACAAATTGCAGGTGAGGGCAGTATTGTTCTGGCAATTCCCCCAAAAGTAGAGTTTGGCAGTAAATACAATAATGGTGATGACAGTCATAATAATAATAAGAAGAAAACTAAATTACTAATACTTCTGATGATAATAATGATAATGACATTTACATTATTATTACTAGAATTGATAAGATGATGATGATGATGATGATTATAATTATTGTCATTATTATTATCATTACTATTTTTACTTCTACTAATATACAACCACGGCTTCTACTACTACTACTACTACTATTATCATTATTATGATTATCTGTATGCATATTTTGTTTTCACTTATAAAGAAAAAGTTGAGTTCTGGGAAAGGTGAAAATAATTTGTGAGCCTTTTCATTCTGTTTACGGTATGTTAGTGTGGAAGAGCATCGTAGAAATAATGTTCCTTGCCCTCATATTCAAAATATGACAATTAATTTGTTGTGGACCACACTTTCATGCTACATGTTTGTGTAGTCCTATATACACATTTCTGTGTCCAGTACAGTGCATGTGACTTTTAGCAAGACTGGGCAAAATAATAATGTTGACGACTACATGCATGATCAACCTTTCAAATCACTTCAACAATGTTTCTTTTGCAATGCAATCGCGTGACCAGAACTAAACTTTATTGTTAACCCCTAAAGGTTACTACATACTACTAGTATATATGAGCTTACTCTGAATCATCGGGTCATCATTTCGGGTTCACGTTGCCCTCCATTTCGTGAAAAAATGCCCCTTTATTCACAAAATGTTGGGGATAATGTTGTGAAATAAACCCCTCTCATCTACAAATGGTCTGGTCCAATTTACCAGACACTTTGTGAAAACCCTACAGCAAATCTACTAAAGTAAACATCGCATCCTGAACATGCATATTCACATGGTCTTTTGTTTCATGAAAGGTCGTGTAACGCAATAACCCAACCGGACGCAATAACCCAACCGGACGCGATGACCCGATTATTCAAAGCCAGTATATGCATACATGTACCTTTCTGCAGCGTTAGGACCTGGATTGGTTTCAACATCACCAGATCTCATCAAGAGGAACAGGAGCAGATAGAGAAGATAGAATCCATCCATGGTGTAAGATGTCCTTCTCACTCGACAGAAATGTAGTCCTCTTGAAAATGGTGATATGACACGGGCAACAATATCTGAAAACAATATTTAAAAATATAGACATTACGTATAAAAAACAGATGGAATAACTATCCTTCAGAGTTTCAAGTCACTACATCTATTTAATAATAGTTAAAGATTTTGGGGGCTTTCAACGCCACAAACTTTTTCGCCCACGCCTCCTGAAACCCGTCCTTTGGAAGGAATGGCTGAGACCAGCCAAGAAGATGTGCCTTGCAGGGTTACTATACAAGAAATGCTGTATTTGGGCAGAAAAACAATGATTTTGTGATTTTTTTTTTGGTGTAGTCGCCAATCAGGGCACCCAGGTTTCTTTCCCAGCACACAATGAGCGTCATCATGTACAGCACAATAGAGATCCTGGGAGTACAGTCAAGGCTCCTTGGCCCAGCAGTGGCAAGAAGAGGCACAGGAATGGAATCAATTTAATAGATAATCTTTGTTAAGTGCCTCGTTACAAATTATTTCATTCACCCACCCATTACAAATAATTTTATTTCAATAGTCAGGATGTGAATTACATGTAGGTAGGACAAACATTATTTCTTGTCCTAACTAAACATGGAATAGACCTAGGGTCTACATGCAATTTGCATTCTGACTATCACTATGAACATGACGGACAAAGAAAGCGGACAAAATTTACAGTTCCTCATTCTACCTTCAACAATTGCTGTGGTAGACAAAGGAACATCCCTTCACTGCTATTAAGTAAAAGTAAGTAGCACAGGTACATGTGACACCTGTTCTACACATTTTACATAATTAAGCCTGAAGGGATGTTCCTTTGTGTAGAATGAGGAACTATAGGGTCTATATTTTGTCCGCTTTCTTTGTCCGCCATGCATAGTGTATTGAAATACAATTATTTGTAACAGGTGAATGAAATGCTTCTAACAAAGATTTATGCATTAAATTTGCTTCCATTTAGGCCTAATACGAACAAATTGAGAAATTCTAAAAATAGATATTTGATGACGTCGTCACACTTCACCACTCTTTATATACTACAGTACAACACAAGGAACAAGGTCAGTATAGATCTAGATCTATAGACTTTTTTCTAGATCTATGTAGATCAATGTACAGGAGAGTCACAACCCTTGCACGTTAAGAACCCATTGCACTATTCGTATAAGAGTAGGGGGAAACCCCGGTGTAATGGTCCACCCCGGCCCCCCCCCCCCCCCCCCCTTGAAGTTAGACCTGGAAGCTTGGCAGCTGAAGACGGCTTTCTTCCAGAAGCTTTGGTATTCAAGGTATATTCATACCCCAACCAGGCCGAGTATACGGCATCTGCAAGAATCTTCAGTATTGAAGGAGGCAGATTATCTTGAAGAAGAAGAAGAAGAATGTAGATCTAAATACAGTCACTAACCTTGTTTCACTTCAGTTTGATTATGTTTACAAAGGCAGCATTTCGTCGACAGACTTCAATCTAAATCTACTACAACTGAAGAAAGATCCTAAAATTTACTAAGATCAATCACTGAATCAAACTCGAAAGCTAAGCGAGGTGGCGTGGCAGTACGTACAGGACGTGTGCATGTGCACATATCTGGCAGAAAAATGGCGACTGTACAGTTCCGTGGGTCACTGAGCGCGCGAATGAATGAGGGGAATCCCCGGTTCTTTTCAGCAATGTTGTTGTTGTTGTTGGGATTTAGATGGCGCTCTTCAATCTTGACAGATTATCTGCGCATGTTCATCTTTTCGAACTTGATCTCATGGCTCACTTTTACTGATTGGGGGGAGGGGGGGGGGGGGGGGGGGGGCCGGGGTCTGTCTTTCCAGACTTCTGTTTTCGAGTCATGACTAATTGGCTCACCTGTCTCAGCGAAGTGCTACTGTGCAAGATTTCCCTTCACCATTAGTCGTGCATTTTAATCATAAGGATGTAGGTTCTAATCCTTATGATTTTAATACTGATGATATTCAAACATTTCAATTTCAACAACAACAACAACAACAACAACTTTTCAGCAAGATATATTCTACGCATGCGCAGGTACACATCTATATAATAGTGTAGACAGTTCAGTTCAGTCTTCAGCTAGTGTGGTGTGGAACAATGCTGTACATCACAATTATCATAATATTATTATTGTTGATCTGGTATATATATGACCTACAAAAATTCTCCTTCATCAGAGCACTTCATCTGCACCGTCTCATAGGCTAGCTTTCCTTTTGTCTTTTCCTTTTTTTTTACACAATTAGCTATAGATTGAAATCGGTCATTAGTAAGATAGTTTTCAGGGTCTCCAATAATGATTGTTGTCATGTCAGTGGCGGATCCAGGGGGCGATTCGGCCATGCACTCCTTTTCGGCGGCCTGGAAAAGGGGGAAGAGAGCGACGGAAATAAAAAAAAATAGAAAAGAATTAGGTTAAGAGGAGAAGAGATGAAAATGAAAGAGAGGTAGAGAGAGTAAGAGAGACACAGAGAGAGATACAGAGAGATATATACTAGAGAGAGATCGAGAGAGAGGCAACGTATTGCATGGATACAGGGGCGGCGATTTCTTTTCATGACCGGGGGGGGGGGGGGGACGAGATGCGAGGAACGAGGGAGGAGTGACGTAATGAGTCAAAACGTTTTTTTTGGGGGGAGGGGAGAAAAAAATCCGCATCATCATCGCTCTTACATGTTACATGCAGGCCCCGCGGAACCGTTTTTCAAAGTTGGAGGGGGGGGGGGGGATAAAGTATTTGCGATCAGATAGAGCAAATCAATTAAGTTGGGTGTAACTTTGGCGTGGGGTCCAGTGGGAAAGCCCCGGCGGGGTCAAGGGGCGGAGCCCCATGAAGCTCAGAGTTTTTAGGCATTTAATAAGGGTCAGATGAGCGTATTTTCATACCTTATTTGTGAAACTTGCATGCATGTCACTAATCGTACTGGGGTCCAGGGGGCGAAGCACCCAGAAGCTCAGCGGTTTTAGGCATTTAATTACGATCAGATGAGCATCCAGGGGCCGCCTTATAGGGCCCTTGGTGGGGTTTAGGGGGCGGAGCCCCCGTAAGCTCAGGGTTTTAGGCTTTTGAATATGGTCAGATGACCATCCAGAGGCCCGCTTAGGGCCCTGGTGGGGTCCAGGGGGTGGAGCCCCCGTAAGCTGATGTGTTTTAGGAATTTAATTATGGTCAGCTGAGTAACCAGGGACAAGCCTTAGGGCCCTTAGTGAGGTACAGGGGGCAGAGCCCCCGGAAGCTTGGGGAAAATCATGCAATTTCAGTAACATTTGTAAATTGGTAACTGGTATCGAATTAGAAATAAACCACGTTTGAATTTTATCGGGGGGGGGGGGGGGGAGACTGCCCAAAGCACGAGTGAGTGAGCATAGTGAACGAGAGGGGTCAAGGTAAATTATATTCCTTAGCAAAACTATAGTATGAAAACAAACAACATACCTGTTTCACACTTCACTTTTCTACAATATTAGTTGTACATTTTGAAGGATATTATGCGAGGGAGCATAGCTCCCGAGCCAGAAGATTTTTGCATTTTTATTTGTCTAAACGCTGCACTCTTGGGCCCTCCAAAGCCTAATAGTGTGTTGCAGTCTTTAGTCAGTATTTGCTGTACATTATTTTTGTGTACTTTTTCAAATTTTCCGGGGGGGGGACGATCCCCCCCCCCTACAAAAATCGAGGG